ATTATCGGGAAAGTCATGACAGATTTTTCTGTTTTTTTTTTTTTTATACAAAAATGTATCGTGATTTCCCCAGCTCTCCCATTATATGTATTATATATACATATAAAATAAATGAATGTCTAGATAAACTGTAAGTAAGCTTTAACCATAGATGGTAATGAAACAGAATGAATGGGAGGGGGTTTGTAAGTACCCTCGTGCTGGAATGTTCATGTGCCTTGCAGACTTAACCACCTCCTCAAACTTCCCCATACTTTCTTCGATGGAGCAGTTAATATTCTTCTTGCTAAAGGACTCAGATGCAGCACCAAAAACCGATACCTCAGTCGCTCCAGCAGCAACCTGAAAAATACAATCCAAAGCCAAAAGCTAATGATTTCGAAACTGTAAAGAACAGCAATAAGAAAAGGTAAACCAGTCTGTAAAAGTACACTTGCATTCTTTAACATTTGCCTTGGAATTTGACATCTTGCCACACACACTCTTTTGAAGGGTGAAAATATGTTATAATGATAGAAAAAATTTACAAACTACAATACTCCCAAGTCTATGAGTCACAGAAAACACAGTGCTAATGTTCCAATTTAATTTTGCCTTTCATAAGTTACATGTTATCCTCAGAAATACTTTAACCCCAATTATGAAAAATACAGCACCTCATTAAAACCTTTATTCTTCATGGAAATATTATTTTAAAACCAGTCATGAAAACAGAGGATAGTAAATGCCCATGATTTTTCTTCTCTTCCTGCATTCTCTGACAAAAATGATTTTCCAATTCATTGTTTAGATTTTGTCCAAAATTTTCCTCTTATCTCCTAACCTAGCTTCTGTTGTCCTGTACCCTGGCTGTTATCATCATACTTTTCTCTTTGTAATGCTTTAATTCCCTTGCCAGTCTTTAAACCTAACATATTCATCTAATTACTTTTCTTTTTGCCCCCTTTGTCATCTTTATTCCTTCCTGCAGGCTTCTCCAGTGATTTTTGCCTTTTGCCTTACGGCACAAGGGCACAAGTGCTCACCAGAGAGAGAGAGAGACAGTGAAAGCGAAAATGCGAAATCATCCCTCCCCCACCCCACCTCAGGAGGGGAATGACCACATTGCAATACCTTCTCTTCCATTCTCCTCCCATTACCTTAGGCATGGCATGAACGGACACATACCCAGGGATAATTTCAAGTCACTGGGTCCAGGAATTGAACTGTGATCAGCCATGTGGGAGTCTAGCAATGTGACTGCTAGCCATCTGCTGGCCCCCTCTGACTGTATTTTTAAGACCTTCTGCTCAAGTTCCTCCATTCCCTGAAACCCCAATTAATACATTAATAAAAACAAAAACTATATTGTTGGCTTTCTCTAACATTTAAAAAATATTGTCTCTGGGGCCAGCAGGAGGCATGGCGGTTAAGGCATCGTACTCCCACATGGTCAACTGCGGTTTTAGTTCTGGACGTAGTGGCTTGAAAATCATACAAGGCATGTGTGTGTGCATGCCCAAAATCCCAAAAAGAGAATGGAGGAGCTGGGATCGCAGCATGACCATCCTTCCTTGGGGGTGGAAGGTGGATGGGATTTCTCACTTTCCTGCTTTCTCTCTTTCTCTCCAGTAAGCACACACACCCTATGGTCAAAACCTACAAAAAAAAAAAAAGGCTTATACATCTTTGTTTAAAGTAAATTTTCCACCATTAATGTAAAAGTCCTACTTATTGGACACCTACTATTTGCCAGTATTGTTAATGCTTTGTATTTTGTTTTGTAAATGTACAACTTTAAACTAAATTCAGCATTATTACACCCACTGTAATGTCGGCTGTGGTGGTGTGGTAGTGTGGTGGTGGTGCACAGCTTTGGAATGCTGGAAGTTATACAGAAGACTGAGACTGGATTCTCATGTTCACTTATACAAATGGGCCAGATGCCCTTGATGCTGGCTGGCTGGGAGGGCTTGGGGAGGGCTCCAGTGTCCGACCTTGTTGAGGGTGCTTATTATTCTCTCTCTCTCATGCAGGAAATGGATGGGTAAACTTGAAACAAAAACACAGACAAACAAATTTAAAAAAAAAAAAAAAAAGCAACAAAAAAAAACCCTATAGCACAAAGTCAAATAGGACAAAATCACACAGGGCCCCATTTTGAAAACATGCTCACTCTCAACCCAAGATCTATTTATTTAACTCCAAGGCTTACCATTCCTATCATGAGGCTATCATGAGGGTGTCCTCTTTGCATCTTTTTCAAGGTGGAGACATTCTCTACTTTATTAGGACTGAACAACAGAATATTAACTTCTGAAAAAGGCTTTCTCTTTTTATAGTGCAATAAAAATTAGATCATACAAACAAAAAAGATAAAGGGTTCTAATAAGATACATAACCACATGATACAATAATTAGCACTCCATAACCTCAGACTTTGCACAATACAGTCTCAAATAATAAAGTGAAAAATATTCATTAACTCTAGTAACGGTTGCTACAAAACCTTTGAAATAGCCTCATGTAAATGTTAAGCTTTTTACTTACTGTTGAAGTGATTCTTTTTAGATATGTAATCTATTGAATTTTTATTTAAATCACATAAATCCTTGTATCATACAGGATCAGAAGAAACACACCAAAAGAACAGAGAAAGTCATTAGAGGCAGATAAAATGACAATTAGCTTTGCTTAGAGAGAGAGAGAAAAAGGCAACAAAAAGCTGACCAAAATATTTGACAAAAATAATTATCTCTTTCAATAATATTAACATCACATTGAGAAATGTTTAAAAATTGTACTGTATACCACCTATAAAGTGGGAAATACAAAATACACTTCCTGAAATTTCATAAAAATAAAAATTGTATTTCATGTTTTAACCCTTTAATGGATAAAACTGAAAAAGCCATTTATGTGGAGCAATTTAGTCCCTAACAAAGCAATAAGTGAACTGATCTCTAAGTATTCCTGTTACTATATTAGCATAATTTTTACACAGGATTACAAGTGAGTAACTTATGCACCTACTATTTTAACTTTTTTAAAGTTAACCTATTAAAAGTGTTTAAACTAAAGATATTTAGAACAATAAGAGGTATGTCAATTTTAGAAAATTTAGTAGCATACTTACAGCACGGTGAAAACCCTGAAGATTAGGAGTGAGAACAGGATATCGAATTCCTGGATATTGATGAATTCCTTTCATCACTTCTGTATGATCAGCCATCTTAAATATATAATAATTATATATAAATACCCAACTTTAAATATTCTATCAAACATGTCCTTAGCTTTTCAGGTAGGTTATGGTTATAGTTCAACAGGCTTTTTTTTAATATAAATTAATGTCTGAAATGACAAAATTCTATTAATGTAGATAAAGACAAGATTTTGTAGTTGTCGTTGCCCCCCCTTTTTTTTTCCCAGATGGCATGAGTGCTCACCAGAGAGAAACAGAGAGACAGATAGGGAGAAAGCAATTCCCATTGTGACATGGTTATGCCATAATCCCTTCTCTTTCATTTGTCCATCCTGTCAGGACTTGGGGAATGTACTCAGATGCGCCCGGCATGTTTATAAAGCCACCAGAGCCAGGTGGAATCCAACTCTCTAACCAATAGGCCATGGGACCAGTCCAAGAAAAGTAGTTTTCAGTATCATAGAGATATAATAATTACATGTGAGTTTAATTCATAGCAGGATCTAGTTAAATGAATCATTACAAATAGCCAGGAATTCTGAATTTAATTACTTTTACTTGACCAATCTGTATTTCCTTCCTTTCACTTTACAATCTGAACTTCAAATAATGCGAAGATTGGGGAGTTTCAAAGACAAGATGCTATGTGCTAATCTTCCATTAAATACTAAATAATAATAATCTAAACAATAATAATCTAAATAATAACCTAAATACTTTTCAGTATGAATTTTTACAGTGTTTAGCAAAATATAAATTATAAATCTCTATTAGAATACCTTAACAAGGCTGAGATCCTAGTATGTTATATGGTTAGCATAAGTGTTTTAGTTTTTAACAATTACAACACTTTAGGCAGTACAGGTTGCACATCCCTAATATAAAACTATGAAATTAGAAATGTTCCAAAATCTGAAACTTTCTGAGCAACATGATGCTATAACAGGAAAATTCCATAATGGACTTCAACGGACAGGTTACAGTCAAAGCAAAATGTTATATAAAATTATGTTCAGGCTGTGTTTATAAGGTATATTTGAAGCATGAATTAATTTTACATCTAGGTTTGGGTCCCATCCCCAAGATATCTCATTATGCGCCTGGAGATACTTCAAAATATGAGCATATTTCAAAATAAAGAACACTTCTGGTCCCAAGCATTTCAGATAAAGGACAATCAACCTGGATTATCATCTGTCCTGAAAATGTGAACAAAGGAATAGAGTTGATAGAGCACTCAGTAGAAAAATGTAACCCACCGTGTCAAGATTTTATTTTTTGAATCTTTAAAAAAAAAAAAAACCTTTTCAATGAAAGTATCAAATTTACTAATTTTCCACAAACCCATAAATTAACCTCTTAAAGGAAAAACTGATATGGTCCCAAAATGATCACATAGAGAAATTACCATTTACATAACTATGAGATCCCTGCAAATTCATGAACAATAAATTAAGCATGAACAATGAATTTAAGAAATAATATATAAACAACACAAAGTACACTAAATAAACACAAAGAAGACTATGAAAACATATACCAAATCAAAATTATTCTTGTCAATATAGAATGGAAGTCAGAAGGCTATTTTTCCTATATGTTCTTGATTTATTATAATAAAAGTATATTTTTTAATAAAAAATAATAAGGCCCAGGCATAGTGATGCAAATAGTAGGTCACCACTGTGTGAGGCTGAGGGCTCACGGGAGGACCAGGCTCCATTGCTGGACCAACCAAAAACAATCTGGGCATAGTAGTGCACACTTGTAATCCTCGCTAATTGGGAGGCTAGAGCAAGAAAACCATGACATGACAAGACCCTGTCCTTATCTCTCTCTCTCTTTAATTAAGAAAGAAAAGAAAGAAAGAAAAGAAAAAGGGAGAGAGAAAAAGTAAATTAGTCAAAACATACATGCTTTTCTTATTATACCTACACACTTTTCCAAAATATAAGATACCACATTTTTTCTATTTTTTATTGGTCAATTGTTCTTATCAATATGCATTTAAATGCCAGTAGAATAAGTAATACTTTCAATGAGTATATGTTGCACTAATTAAATGAGGTTTGAAATACATTTTAAAATTAGCCTGTATGGTGGTACATGCCTATAATCTCAGCTACTCAGGAGGTTGAGGCAGAAGAATTGCAAGTTTAAGACCAGTGTGGGCAACATAGTGAGATCCAGTCTCTCAATAAAATAAAAACAAACAAAAACAAACAAACAAACAACACGCAGGAAATACTAAATAATTTAAATTTAAAATCAAATATCTAAGAAGCAAAAAAGCTCACTGTTGGATTAAAATCTTGCTTTATTGACATTTAAGCTTGAATGCTTTATTCATTTCAAACGCATTTATTTGTGCTTCATTACACAGTATTATTTCATCACACAGTATTAGAATATACAGTGGTTTAACTGTGTGAATTTTTCTGGCTTTTTCCTACAGTATCATTTTCATTATTCTCCACTCTATCGCTGTATCCTTTACAAAAGCCTATCTGCAATATTTATTGGCAATGCATAAGAATTGATTCTCTTGGGACCAGCAGTTGGCGTAATGGCTATGTCACTGGACTCCCATGTAGTCGATCGTGGTTTGAGTCCCGGACCCGGTGGCTTAAACTCACACCAGGCATGTGTGCGTGCGTGACCAAGATCCTGAGAGGAGAATGAAAGAGAAGGAATTGTGGCATGGCCATCCCCCCTGGGGGTGATTTCT